AACGACAGCTAATATAGAATGGAATACGCTAGCCACGAATAAAATTATTTCGTGCAAAAGTATATAAACTGTCGCGTGTGTCGTCCCCTAGCTATTTAATAAACTTCAATATTGCTTTGATAGACACAGGAAATGCATTAGTGAAAATATTCTCGAACCAATAATTGGAATGTCGGCTTCGATTTATATTGAAACGTGTGTTCCAAATATCACGTTTGGTACAATTCACTAGCGAATCCGAATGTTTTTTGGGAATAATAGCAAAACTACACACGTTTACAGTTAGTGCCCGAATTAGTTTAGGAGCTAACAACAGGTCTGGGCGCTAAAGATAAACATAGCATAACTATAAAAGTCCCCACTGCCGGGACATGGCCCTTCCCTTTGGATGGAATATAGTGATTGAGCAAAAATTTTGTTCAATCACTGTTGAAAGCATGTTGACATCATTTACACTGATTTTGAAAAAGCTTTGGATCGGGTAGATTACGTTAGCCTGCTAAGCTTTTTATTGAATATTGAATATCAATCAATAAAAGAATAAAATCAGCAGAATATACAATACAATCTCAACCCGCTCCGGTTGGGGTTGAGATTGTATTGTATATTCTATCACAGGCTGATGTAATGGGTGTAAATAGATCTCAATTGATACTTATACTTTACTAGGCGTACTAAAAGGTCTCTCCTATACAATGTAACATATAATGATGTATATAGTATTGCATGATTGTATATATCATAATATATATTATATATTTATGCAGTATAAAAATGTTTTAAAAAACGCTTATGACTTAATGTATGTCGGCGACATAACATTCATATTTCTATCAAAGCTGCTAATAATTTTTGATTGCTGCAAGTATATCTTTATAGGCTACATGATTATTCTATTAAGCATCATTAATAAAAGTGAATGCAATACATTAATTCAGAAAAACTGTCACCTTACATAAAAATCCTGGGCATGCTCTTGAACTGAACATTGCTGCTTTTGAACCATGTAGATGATATCATTGCTAAAGCTTAACCTAATTTGGTACTTGTGCTCCCTTTAAGGTTACAAAAGATTTTAAAGTGGTCTACTATGCTTATGTAAGAAGTGTGCTTAAATACTGAAGTGGTATAAGGTCTCCTTTTTTCAACTGTCATAAACATAACTAAAACTAAAATAGTTATTTATGATATTATTGCGGTAAAATGGTTATTACCAACGAGAATACGAATGTAAGTACCAGACGAAGTCGAGGGATTACCATAGTCACGAGTTTGTTAATACCAATTCCGCACGAATGTCATAAAATGTTTTTCAACACATTTAAGAGAAAACAGAACCTATACCTACTTTAAGTAATGAAACAAACATTTTCTAATAAGAAAATCGCGCGCATTTTCAAATGGCGCCACATGTGTGAGTGGTGGAAATTAGAAATACATCTTTCGTCTCTTTTTCTTTTTAGTATTAAAGCGAAACAAAGGTATATCTCAAAAGGCGTTCCAAAGAGGTTCGACCGAAATTAAAAAAAAACTGTTAAGGATACGCACGGCGTCATGTATGGGAGCGTGCGGTAAAACGTTTTACCACACGCTTCGTTGTATGGCACGTAATTTTGAATTTTCGAACAATGTATACAACCTCCGCAAATGCATTTTTGAGCAAATGTATATTTCACTTTCGTAAGGAACACTTCGTTTGCTAGGCTGATTTGCATCTGGGCCATTGTTTTTATTCATCATCATCATCAGCCTATTAATGTCCCCACTGCTGGGGCACAGGCCTTCCCTATGGATGGAATAGGGAGTTTGGGTCATGACCTACCACGCGAGCTCAGTGTAAGTCTTTCATATTTTGTAAAATAAATATTTGTCTTAGCTTTTAATTGCTTTTAATAACGTGTACTTTAATATTTTTATTTTGTAATAAACAAATTATATAATAAATTTTTTTCATAATAAAATAGAAAAAAAATAAACGAAATTTCTCAAAACTTTTTTTTAACGTGTTTATACATATATATTTACTTAAATAAAAGTTTTGTATTTGAACTTTATCTAAAGCCTTATTGATTAATACTCTATGCTTGACCAAAAATTCAACTGTCTTTCTTAACAAATAAAAAAGTTATCGATTTTTCATCTGAAACAAGCCTTGATTTTCCATAGTGCAACGGTTTAACGTGCCTTCCGAAGCACGGAGGAGCTCGAGATAGTAAATTTTTTGTCACCCATCCAATGACCGACTACTGCGAAAGTTGCTTAACTTCAACGATCGCAGCCGTACGCGTTCACCACTTGCGCCATCGAGCTCCTGGTATTATGCAAGCTTAATCGCTTCATACCCGTTACTTATGCCGAGTGCTTGCTGGAGGAGATCGTAGCGATAAGTCCGCCTTTGTAACGTCTAGGACAAAGGTCCGCGATTGTTTCCGACTTGAATGCCTCGTGGAGATCCCAAAAATAGATTCGGATAACTGTGCATGACTGCAAAGACACCGTTACTTCGGCAGAAACAAAGGCCAAAACTGAAGAATCTAATTCCACGAAAAACATTTTCATGTAAAATGTTGCCAAGACGAGATCACATAACACGTACTGTCAAAAAGTTATCAGATTTCATGTAGAGTCAAGATTATAGCTCTGCATGACCTAAATTTTATAAGGCCTTACTTCACAAACTCGACACTTTCGTAATATGTAACTTGGCCGTTTTGTTACTACAAGCACACATTGTATAAGAGAAAAGTTATGAAAAGTGGATACATTTTTCACATCAGGCCTAAGATAGCGAAAAAGTCAAGCCACATGTTTTGACTAAGATGTTGAGTTTGTGAATTTTTCAGACCTCTAGCATCGCAATTTCGAAAGTCCCATAAAAAATGCCATACATTGGGAGATAAAAGTTACGAGTTTTATATTTTGCTGTTTCATAAATTTTAACTTTCTAGGATATTAGGAACCCAAAATTTTGATGATCATCAGTGAGTCGGTGACAAAATCAGGGTTTTTAGATATCAATAAAAGCAAATGTATAAAAGGTATGTAATTAAAATTTGGCATGTTTTATAATTTCGCTATTGACAACATATTCCGAGAATTTCGTTTATCTGGTACAACCAACACCCAAGTCATGGGAATTCAAAAAAAACGACGATGCGCTTCGAGAAAAGGTATCATCTTTACATCTTGGCGGGGGAACTACTGTGCTCCCAGATTAGATAGGGTACATTCAGTAGATATTTCACACCATACATTGCCAGGTTATTAAATTTGCAACTCCGTGATGGTTAAATATGAATTTATTGCAATGCAGCTGCGAAGTTAGCGGAAGTCGCAACACAGTAAACGAAATGTAGAGTAATGTAGGTGCGTGCGGGATGTTACTAACTGAAACCTGCGCATAGTTGCGTTCGTTGCTAAGTTCACAGCTACCATGCAGTATAAAACGCGCAATAAAATGAAAAATCCCCCGTTTAACCATACGACAATTGTCATTTGTCAGTATAAGATGTAACGTTTGGATGTTAGGACAATAATTGACGAATCATAAAAGCTTTTAATTAGCCAACTTTGATATTGTATCACTTAATACATAGTTATAATCATCAGATGAGGAGGTCGATGGAGCAGGTAGTTAGTGCACTCAGCCTGCGATCGTGAAAATTAAACAATTTCAGCAATGGTGGTCATTAGATGGGTGAGCCTGAACTTATTATCTCAAGCTCCTTCATGCTTCAGAAGACAAGGTGAGCCGTTGGTCCCGGCTGCATCTGCAGTCGTTAGCCCCCCTCCCCCACGATCACGACCCAGTTTCCCTATTCTATCCATGGAGAAGGCGTGTGCCCCTGCAGTGGGAACATGATGATGATTTAATGCGACCAAAGACGTTTCTGAATATGCCTTATGCGCTAATAGACTTTAAGCTGGCGCATTCTATATTCCTCTTTTGCTCCCAGCATGAGAAACTAGGTATAATAATTAAGTATGTCATTATTTAGAATTGCTGACAACTCGGACACAGTTGTATATATCATCTATTAAATCATTGGTTCAACATATTTTTGACTATGTAATTTTATTTATTTTATTTGTTACTTGTTGTTTAAGTCTTTCCAAAATTCTAATTACTGTATGCTGAATACTTGTTTGACTTCAGTAATAACTTTGAATTGAAATCATGAAGTACAAGAGACTTGTGTGAGCAAGTTAATAGACATACATTTCCAATGATTAGCTCAGTGAGAAACCCTAAAAACTGCCTTTTCTTTTCCATCTAATTTACAATTAAAATTGTATTCAGAAAATTGGCTCAAAGTAGACCTTTTAAATTCTTCTGGCAAAAAAAAATCAAATTATAAGTTTATATCATGTAATATTTCTTTTATTAATTTAATTAATTCTTCGCTCTGTCTGCATGCAATCTTTTATTATGTAAAATTGCACGATCCTCAATTAGCAAAATATAATACTTCGAGAAAATAAAAAAAAAACATATTTTGAGCTCCATAACTCAAGTGCGATATAGAATATGTCATTTCTTTGTTGAAATGCCATGAGAAGTTCATAAGAATCCTCTTTTTAAAATTGTGCTTACGTCAAAACAGTGCCATTCCACCCTTATTCTATCATTTTATGAAAAAGCGAGCATCGACGTCGCATCGTCACAAGCGGATTCTAGGATTATAGAATGCTGACGACATATCCACAATGGAATGATGTTTTGCGAGTTTGTACAGCCTTCTATCCTATTGGCTGAAAAGCTGCATTGACACGTGTCGTTCAAACGAGCTTTTCAATTTTTGAATGCTATTTGTTGCAGCAGAATAAACTTTTTAAGGGAGTTCATGGCACGAAATCGTCGAGTCAGCATTTTAAATAGTTTTTATCTACTACCCCGTTGAGCTTTGGAACCTAAAGCATTCATTTAATCATTCAATCATCATTGCAATTGTAATTTCTCTCATTTCTGTTCTGTGGTGTTTTCAATAAAGTATTGTGTATTGTATTGTATTATTGTATCATGTACAGAATTACACCAGCATCAGAAGGTAGTGTTATTTTATTGTGATCTTCTGCAAGATGGACGTCACTTGTCCAGACGGGGGCTCCCATCCGAGTAGGAAATCCCTATCGTTCTTGCCAGGCTAAATAAAAACAACCGTATGGATAAAACATCACTGTACTGAAATCATTAATAAAATATATTTAATAACTAATTCCAAAAATTCTCAAAGGAATTATCATAATCATAATTGCTATTTATCTTTGGCGTCATATCGTCTGTCGATTCATAATTGGTCAAGTCGAATTTATCAGCTAAAAATGCATCTGGGGCAAATGTGGTAGCTTTATCTGTTGAAAAGAAACTTTCTATTCTACTCGTAGTTCTCTCTGTCGTAGATTCTTCTATTTTCGTGTTTGTCGTTGTTTCTGTATCTTTTTCAGTAGTCGGATCGGTAACTTCATTTGTCTTTTCTGTGATTATATCTGTGGAGCGACAGAAACCTTCATGGAATTTCCAGCCATGTGGACAGAGAAATACTTGCGGAATGAGGATTCCTCTTCGTAATAGGCAAACATAGTAATGGTTAGGACTTGAAGGCAGAACTCCATTCTGACCAACTTGTGTGCATCCTGGAACTGGTTTGGTTTTGCACTGGCCCTTTGTAAGTCTTATCTGAAACATAAAGAACTATATGTCACTACCGTTTAAATATGGATTAAACATTCGATCTGGTGATGGAACAAACAAAAACTTCATTCCAACATTTTGTTTTCTTTTAAAAGTAATAATATATTGCTTTTGAAGTGAAAACTAAATGGAAGTATAATATTTGACACAAGTTATTTAGGTATCTATGATTTTATCATCTACCATAAGAGACGGATAGTCGAACGGTAACAGTCTTGGAGTTGACACCAACTGATCAATAGTACGATCCTGAACTGGGTTTTTTTTTAATTTTGTTTTCTTTTTATTAAGCTATTATTTATTTTTCAAAACAATTTAAGTAGTATAAAATATTTAATTTTGACCTAGAGAGTTGAATTTAAACACAGGTGTTGTCTTTAAGACGTACCTAGTAACGAAGGACGTTTACTCACATTTTTGTAAGTTTTACTTCTATCGTATGTGAACAGCACATGTCCGTTTTTTTTATTTGCATCTAATAGATAATTTCGATGGTATAAATGGGAGGTTTTTATGTGCGTGATGATGATCTGCTCAATAAGGTTGAGTCTGATACGGATTCTTGTCAAGCAAATGATAAAAATAAATCAGAGAGAGTGAGAAAAATAAATCTACACAGATATTGCAAAAGCAACTGTAAAAGGTTATATTTTAAACATCTTCAGATGCACATACATGTTCTTCGTGAGTCTGTACGACAATTTTATCGCGTCTGATTTCTTACCGAACATTGAGCTGTCAGAGGATTATAGCCGTAATGTTTTGGACATAACGCAGTTCTGTGGTCAGCCGCTCTTCCCATTGGTAATCCTTCAGGCGGTGAACAAAGGTGAAATTTCCTGCAGTCGTGGGCATCGGGGAATATTCCGACCTGTAATCGTGAGTGTTTTCTTTTTACTTGCGCTACAAATCCAGAATGCAAGACTTCTTTATGAAGTCTATAATTTAGAGTTCTATTTTTAATTTATAGAATAATTTCATAAGAAAATATTACTAGTATTATATAGTATACTATACAACGAGGACCAGGCAGCAGATGGCACTCGAACCCGCGCCCTTCGCTATCCGGGCGAATGCACTGCCCATTATGCATTATTTATAAAAACTTTGTGCCTTACGTCAATAAGTTAAATGTTATATAAGCTTAACATTTAACTTATTGATGTAACCAAGAAGATACAGCGCCATTGGAAATTACAAATTTCGCATTTAAACTAGCCCATTGTGTTTTAGCGTCATCAAGAGTGCAAAGATTCGCGAACTTGTGTTATTTATTAATTCCCGTTATAGGAAGTTTAGATGTCAGATTTATTATACAGCTAGTGCCTTGACCTTTCAGATAAGATCTCCACGCGCGGTCTGTTCGGTTCAATTGTGGGGAGTTGCATCGGAGTAGTGCAAAGATTTTGTGAGTGCTGTGGCGATATGTGATGCTTTCTCACCAATTCTGTTCAGATTAACCATCTGAACTCATTTACTTTCATCAATTATTTTATGACCTGGGTATGGTTCTTTTATCATTGGAGTAAATTTATTAACTTTCTCTTCTTCGGGACGCTGTAAATATTTTAATAGGTAGCATAACATCATAGAAAGATAAATAAGAATATTTTTTGTTTTGTTAACTTTAAGGAATAAATTAAGGTTTAAGTTGTAGGTGCAGTGTAAAAATGATGAGTAACCTGACACTTATAGAAATTTGCAATTTGAGTTCCAATAGGCTTATCAGAATATTTGAATAAAATTTGGTTTTATTTAATTATTTTTCAACCAGGGTATTAAGTCAAGGCCTCTTCATCCCTTTCACAAGATTTGAATTCATCAGGAATAACAATAGTTACTGATTTAATAACATGTAATCCTTCGCCGAATAAAAATAAATAGTTATGCTGTTGAGTTTCATTTGTTCCCCAAAGTCTAATTAGATCTTAAGGCTTAAGGTGCTTTTAGAAAGGTTGCCTTCTAAGACGTAGCGCACACTACGAAAGGCGCGGTTAAATTTGAAATTTTAAATTTGAAAATAGCCGGGCGGCTACGAGAGCCGGCTTGCGAGTACTGCGCTCCATGGCTCTAGGCTGGGCACAAAGTCACCGGGTGGCTACGTTACGAGAGCCGGCTTGCGAGTACTGCCCTCCGTGGCTCTAGGCTGGGCACAAAGTCACCGGGTGGCTACGTTACGAGAGCCGGCTTGCTAGTACTGCCCTCCGTGGCTCTAGGCTGCGCACAAAGTCACCGAGCGGCTACGAGAGCCGGCTTGCGAGTACTGCGCTCCATGGCTCTAGGCTGGGCACAAAGTCACCGGGCGGCTACGTTACGAAAGCCGGCTGGCGAGTACTGCCCTCCGTGGCTCTAGGCTGCGCACAAAGTCACCGGGCGGCTACGAGAGCCGGCTTGCGAGTACTGCGCTCCATGGCTCTAGGCTGAGCACAAAGTCACCGGGCGGCTACGTTACGAAAGCCGGCTGGCGAGTACTGCCCTCCGTGACTCTAGGCTGCGCACAAAGTCACCGGGCGGCTACGAGAGCCGGCTTGCGAGTACTGCGCTCCATGGCTCTAGGCTGAGCACAAAGTCACCGGGCGGCTACGTTACGAAAGCCGGCTTGCGAGTACTGCCCTCCGTGGCTCTAGGCTGCGCATAAAGTCACCGGCTTGCGAGTACTGCGGTCCATGGCTCTAGGCTGGGCACAAAGTCACCGGGCGGCTACGTTACGAAAGCCGGCTGGCGAGTACCGCCCTCCGTGGCTCTAGGCTGCGCACAAAGTCACCGGCCGGCTACGAGAGCCGGCTTGCGAGTACTGCGCTCCATGGCTCTAGGCTGGGCACAAAGTCACCGGCCGGCTACGAGTGCCGGCTTGCGATTACTGCGCTCCATGGCTCTAGGCTGGGCACAAAGTCACCGGGCGGCTACGTTACGAAAGCCGGCTGGCGAGTACTGCCCTCCGTGGCTCTAGGCTGCGCACAAAGTCACCGGCCGGCTACGAGAGCCGGCTTGCGAGTACTGCGCTCCATGGCTCTAGGCTGGGCACAAAGTCACCGGGCGGCTACGTTACGAAAGCCGGCTGGCGAGTACTGCCCTCCGTGGCTCTAGGCTGCGCACAAAGTCACCGGGCGGCTACGAGAGCCGGCTTGCGAGTACTGCGCTCCATGGCTCTAGGCTGAGCACAAAGTCACCGGGCGGCTACGTTACGAAAGCCGGCTTGCGAGTACTGCCCTCCGTGGCTCTAGGCTGCGCACAAAGTCGCCGCGCGGCGTTCCGTCACTCATGGCCGCTCTAGGAGTCAGAAGGAGCGCGTAGTATCTACGCTGCTGATGTGCGTTAAGTCTTAGAGTTAAATTTTATGAATAGACGGGCTCAAATGTTCCTAAACTTACTTAAGCTAAGTCTACAGAGTCTATCATTGATATCTTTATTCTATTAAAAGAATGCTCAGTCAGTGACCTGTTCGCAGATGTGCTCGTACTTCTGAGTGACATCTTGGCACTCTGGCACGTGTTCGTCGGTGCACTGCCCGAGGTGTGCGTTACAAGTCTGACCGCTGGTGCACTCCTCAAGGGGGACCTGGAAGCAAAAGTTTAGCAAGAGTATATTTTTTTTTACCAAGAATTTACTTTGTTTTTTTTCCGATGCTAAACTATGACGTCTAGAGAAAATATAACTAGAAAAAATTACACATTGTGGGTTACCTACAATGCTAAGAGATGGCGCTGCCTTGCAGCTTAAGAATGGCTAGAATAATTTCGTCGTCTGGGCCGCGGTAGCATAATTGGTCAGTGCGTTTGCCCGGATTGCGAAGGGTGTTGGTTCGAGTCCCGTCTGTTGTCTGGTCTGCGAGGATTTTTTTTTATTTTCTTTAGATTAAAACATCAAGCAGCTACTACATGCTTAAATAATGAAATTATTCGGCATCACCAAGATCGAAACAAATTTACAACACGATCGGTCTAAACATGAAGGTTTCAAAAGAGTTGTACATTAATGATTTCAATTTGAATATGAAAAGTTTCAATTTTGGTTTCTGGTTGCAATCAGTCTCTGAAATTAAGCCACCTTTGTGATTGCCTATAAGCAAATGAGTTTCTAAAATTCGACAGAAAAATTAACTAAATTCATTTTATTGGGACAGAAAGAAGCTTTATATCGCTACCACTTGGTGATGAAAATTGAGTTTACATTAGATGTTTTACAAGACCAGATTAATGATAGTGAGATACTGTTAAAAGGCAAAGAAATTTTGCTTGCCTTACATAAGTTTGGAAGTGTACTGTGATGTTTGTCATATAATATGACAAGCAAATTCAGTCATCAGGTATTCAACACATTCTGTTCAGGGAGGTTGGAGGGCTGCGGCCTCCTTCTGTGAAGCGGTGATGCTCCAGAAGGAGGCCGCCGAGTGGGATCGGGAGATGGCCGATCCCGCTCGAAGAAGGCGGTGTCGGGCCAGATAATGGCCTGATGTGCCGCCGCGGGTCGCTGGTGAGCATGACGGAGCTTGTGCTCATGGAAGCGACATGGGAGGGACGACACCCCCGCATGGCCGGGGGGTGTCGTCGTAGGAGGGTGGATGGGGGAGGTTGTGAACACTCCCCCGAGAAGGGCTCCCCTGGAGGAAGCAGGAGAGCAAAGGCTGCGGGTCCTCAGATGCGATACTCGATCCTGAGGCCCCGTACAATGCCTGATGGCGGCCATCGCTGGGGTTTTAGTGAGTAGGCCTCCCCCTTCTGGGGAGGACAGCCCCACATAACCACCATGTGGTATGCAATTTAATGCATTTCCCCAGCGTATCAAAAAAAAAAGGTATTCAACACATTACAAAGTCTCAGTAACCCTGCTCCCCTGCCCCCAGCATGAACACCGCGATATAACATATAGCTAGGTTTTATCACGCTCAATTGTCAAATTAATATGAGGTTTGACAGTTACACGCAATAAAATCGTGACATTATGTCAATTGTGGTGCTCATGCTTTAGGGATTGGGTCTAACCTCATCTCATTACGGAGTCATAAAACCTTACCTTTAGATAGCCAACAGGCAGGGCCACGCAGGTGACAGTGTGCGTACAGTTCTGGCAAGCGAAGCCGGGCTCCGTGCATATGCCTTCCACGTCCAGCTCCCCGCTACCAAGCGACATGCCTAGTGGCACAGCCGCCATACGGTTGCCTGATATCACGCCGCCCAAATCGAAGGAACTGGTCAGCTGTGGACATTTGGTGAAGGGATATTGAATACTTTATAGATATTAACGGGATTGTTACCATGTACCTTGTTTTTTATGAGTCTCCGATATTTCGGCACTGTTGCAAGCGGCTGTTGGTAGGGGTATCGAACGCAGTAAAAGACGACGTCAGAGGGTAGACCGATATGTTTGCCAATAACATCTACCCGCAATCACTTCAGTTACTCCGTGATCATGGCGCTTTCCAACAGTGCCGAAATATCGGAGACTCATAAAAAGCAAGGTATATGGTAACAATCTCGTTAATATCTATAATGTTAGTGACCATGAAAGTTTAAAACAATATATTGAATACTTGTTGCACGCGTAATGGAATACTGACCTATTAGTATTAAAGACATACGACATCTATTTTTATGAAACTATCACAGGATCGTCAATTAGACCTTACTTCAAAGTAAGACTAATAATAGTAAAAAAAAATGACTAGTAAAAACTCCACTCACTTCAGGTTTCAGACGGAATTCGAACCCGCATCTTACACTGTCCTGGCGGCAGCCTAAGAAATACTAGAGGAAATTTGACATGGCCATTAAGGCTGCAGTTAGACGACGCGAAAAATTTCTTGTGGTCGCCGCGTGGCGACTTAACGTTAAAATTCTTTGTGAGTAACTAACTGCGCGGCGATCGAATCACTCGAATGTAAAACATTCGACAAATGCTATCAAATGTTTTGTGTGATGTGAATCAAATAATGTATCAAATGTTTTAACATCCATTCGGAAATAATCTGCGATTTTTCATATTCTCGCAGTTGATTGTATAGCATATGAAAATCACATAACTCTTCTCGCCATGCTAAAATAGGAAGAAACCCTACACTAAAATCTTCTACATTTCTTTTTTCTTCTTTTTTGCTTTGCCGATACAAGTAATATGCAATCATAATTTTCTTCTTCTGAATCAAATAGCCCATAACGAATACTTGTGAATTTTAAGAAAGACCAAGATCAACTGCAAATGAATCGAGTTAGCAGTGGCGGGGTCACTAGGCGGCGACCGCGCGGCCGCCGCGCCGTCGCCGCACTGTCATCGCGCGGCCGCCACTCTGTGACATTCTGTGTCATATAAACGCGCCCTAAAGACCCTAGCGTAATTGGTTAGCGCGTCCAGTCCTATCGTTTAATATATAACACGGCGGACTCAGCTAAATTTTAATTTCCCCAAAAGTAACCGCTGTATTCGGACTTTATATATTTAGTTTGATCGGCCGTGTTTACGTCACTTACATATTTATCAGTATGTCCAAATATTGACTTGATCGGTCCAGTAGATTCCGAGCAAATCGACTGTGACAGACAGACAGAAAACCGAGTGATCCTACAAGGTTCCATTTTTCCTTTTGAGATTTGGAACCCTGAAATACACTTGTTTTTCGTGGTGCTCTATTTCTGTAGGCGAGTAATTCCAGTGTTCTGAGGTGATTGGGTTCATCATCATCATCATCAGCCCATTAATGTCCCCACTGCTGGGGCACTAGCCTTTCCTTTGGATGGAATAGGGAGATTGGGCCATGACCCTACCACGGGGGCCAGTGCGGATTGGCGGGTGCTAACGACTGCAGATGCAGCCGGGGCCAACGGCCTAACATGCCTTCCGAAGCACGGCGGAACTCGAAATAGAAGATTTTTTGGTCACCCATCCAATGACCGACCACTGCGAAAGTTGCTTAACTTCAACGATCGCAGCCGAACCACCCGCGCCATCGAGCTCCTCCACGAGTTGTTATACTGACGGATTGGGTTCAATCCTCTTGGTGTGTTGTGTTTTGTGAGCAAGGTTCTAGGACTACACGGGGTATTGGGTTGGGTTCAGTTCGTTGACAATAAAACTAATATTCACAACAGACAAAACATACAAAAACAAGTTAAAGCACTTATGGTAAAGTCCCTGAATTCTGTAATCCATATATATAAAATTCAAAGGTGACTGACTGACATAGTGATCTATCAACGCACAGCCCAAACCACTAGACGGATCGGGCTGAAATTTGGCATGCAGGTAGATGTTATGACGTAGGCATCCGCTAAGAAAGGATTTTGATAAATTTTACCCCGAACGAGAAGCGAGGGCGGGCCAAAATGAAAAATTCACTATTTGGTAATATTGCGTTTCCATCTGGTGATGCACCAAGTGTAGCACCTATAGAGCAACACGGAAGGTAGTAGCCATAGCGACATAACAGTATTCTAAGCATTTTATTTTTTTTGCAGGGCAGGGGGGGGGAGGGGGATTATGCACACAAACGCAGTTTAACGTACACGCATATAAAACAACAAACAAGAGGAGCTCGATGGCGCAAGTGGTTAGCGCGTTCGGCTGCGATCGTTGAAGTTAAGCAACTTTCGCAGTGGTCGGCCATTGGATGGGTGACCAAAAATTTACTATCTCGAGCTCCTCCGTGCTTCGGAAGGCACGTTAAGCCATTGGTCCCGGCTGCATCTGCAGTCGTTAGCACCCACCATGGCCCAATCTCTCTATTCCAGCCATAGGGAAGGCCTGTGCCCCAGCAGTGGGGACATTAATAGGCTGATGATGATGGTGATAATGATGATGATGATATAAAACAAAACTGTGACTACGACACTCACACATAAACAATGACACAATATATCTTCAAACGTGTGCGCAGAACACGCGTATAGTTTTTATGCTAAACTTTGTTAAAGATAAATAAATAAATAAATAAATAAATAAATAAATGCCCAATTCGTATGCCCAAACCGACAGAGGGGAAAGCTGTGTATTCCTACTCCTCCCGGTCCACGACGGCCGTGTGGCTCTATGGCAGCACCACTTAAGCTCAGAACGCAACAATATGTATGCACTTTAGCTCAAAACAGTTCTGATTGAGCAAAAATTTGCTCGCTCAGTAAATGAAAATATTAGCGATTTTTGCGGGACTCAGAGCACACGTGCTCTCTTGCTCAGTCAGCTCAGTCATCAATGGAAAAACCGCAACATTGTTTAGAACATTCCATTTACTGAACTCGATGGAACTGAACGGCTGCGATCGTTGCAGTTAAGCAACTTTTGCAGTAGTCGGTCATTGGGTGGGTGACCAAAAATCTTCTATCTCGAGTTCCTCCGTGCTTCGGAAGGTACGTCTAGCGGTTGGTCCCGGCTGCATCTGCATTCGTTAGCACCCGCCAATCCGCACTGGGCCCGCGTGGTGAGTCATGGCCCAATCTCACTATTCCAACCATATGGAATGCCTGTGCCCCAGCAGTGGGGACATTAATAGGCTGATGATGATGAAACCCATATAGGTGGAAACACAGCATGACACTTTAAAACTCAAACATAAGACCGACTACTTATAAGCACTTAAACTATTGCAACATATTAAAAATGTTTCCCAAACACCGTTTAGCTAGATTTATGTGAAATCTTGTTTGGCAGTACAAAGATTTTAAGATAATAAACTTACGGTACTAGTGCACCCAAAAACACAAATCAGAACAATTTTTAACCACATGCTTCTGGTATTTTTAACACTTTTAAAACTTTGACTGAATTAACTTTGATGTTTGTACGAAAAATTAAGTTATTACGCCCAATTTTAGGGGGGGTCACACAACTTGATCCCGCTATCTTCAATGTGTGATAAGAAGTTCGTGCCGAAAGTAATTATGTTTATTTACTACTAGCGGCCCGCCCTCGCTTCGCTTCGGTGTAGAGCTGAAGTGTTAGACTACAGTTTTTGTTGTCAGGCTTGTATTATACATAATGATATTCATCTATGATTCTTCTTATACCTGCATGCAAAGTCTCAGACCGATCGGTTTAAAATTGACAAACTTTCATACAAACTTTCATTCCCTATTTTATCCCCTTGGGGGTAGAATTGATCAATATCCTTTCTTAGCGGATGCCTACGTCATAACATCTACCTGCATGCCAAATTTCAGCCCGATCCGTCCAGTGGTTTGGGCTGTGCGTTGATAGATCACTATGTTAGTCAGTCAGTCACCTTTGAGTTTTATATATATAGAGAGATGATTCACGTCATGCAAGATATATTTTAACTTTAATTTTCATAGCATGCAATTGACATAATTATTTTTGTAATCTATTGTAATGCCCTTACAGCGAATGTTGTGAATATGTTGTATGTTGTGAATCATTTAATCTACACTTAAGACCTTTTGTTATCATGACGTAATGTAATAAATGAATAATGAAGTAACACGATTGTTCAAAAACTGAGTGCAACTTTAGGAGTATAACAGTTGTGATAATATTAATGACATGAAAATTACTTAGTTTGCGGGCGACACTAATGCAGTAATTGCAGCCAACAATAGCGAAGATCTAAGTCGTAAAACTAAACAGGCTCTATCAGCATTTAGTAATAGGATTGATGTAAAAAAAATTAGCAAAACCAATATAATGTCATTTCGTGCAACGGCAAGAAATAAAGAAAATTTGAACATTACTGTAAACCACAGAAACATAAATCTAGTAGACGTAGTAAAGTTTTTAGGAATATATTATATTGACTGATACCTCAACTGGAAGCAAGAATTGGAGAAAATTGAGAAAAAAATAGTTCAGCCTGTTATTGTTTAAGAAGCTTACGAGACGATATTACAGTAGAGCAACTAAAAATATTATATCATGCACTAGTCGAGTCTCAATGGCGGTATAGTATTAGGTTTTTATTATTTATTTATTTATTTAAACTTTATTGCAAAATAACACAGCAAATGGCGGACATAATGCCATAATATTTTGGGGCAATTCATATAAATTCTATACAATTTTATACAATTTGACATCGTGAATTTGTATTTTTTCTATTTACTTATTAATTGTAATAATCAATTTCACATAAAGAAAATGATTTATTATTTTATTTACGTCTTATTTTATTTTGTATTATTATTATTATTTCCAACACAATTATATTGTTTAATGGAATAAATGAATTCAATTGAATTAAATTATTTAAAATTCTTCTTTGCATTTTTTGCTTTAGTTATAAAATGCAGTGTATGTTGTTTTTCTTTCTGGATTCACGAATGATCTAAGTATGAGCATTCTTTATTATATGGTGCCATAAATACTTAACTGTCAACTAAAAAAATTAATTTATATAAATACTAATACTATAAATACGAAAGTGTGTCTGTCAGTTTGTTTTTAACTCTTCATGCTTTAAGCCCAAAAAAAATTAAAATTTTGGGTCTAGGTCTATGTTACTGCAATAAAATACCCAAAATTTTTTTTTTGATTCGAAGTTTCTTTTAAGAGTTTTAACAAGGGTTACTATGCTGTAAAAGATTTCATATAACAAAACACCTTGGGCCTTTATTTTTGCCAGAGCAGACAGGTTTCCCTTTTTTTATTTAAATTATTGTTTTCAGTGCTTGCCTTATTAGAGGCATTTAAAAAAAATTCTAACTACACTGGCAAAACACGAACTGTCAAAATTCAAAGTTATTGCAGTCGGGAGATAGCTTTGTGAAAAATAAATTTGCAATTACTCTTAGCAGTTAGCAGAGCAATTAGGATTTTCACTTTTTGAAAATACTTTTGACCCAATATCGAATTGACCAAATAACAACTACCTATAAGGTGAAGAAAATTTTCAGGGGGTCTACTCTCTTTCTCCGAAATGAACTTTCGATAACGAAGTTCGAACGAAATTTAATTTTGTCAATTTAAGGTTACACTTAATTTTAACGATAAACTATCAAATTGAAGCTTCTTGAGTAGGCTTAAAAGATCTACACCTCAATCTATATTCCGGCGTCGAATATTATTATAATTAATAAGAAAAGAATTTTGGAAATCGGTCCACAATTGCCGGAGAAATCGGTGAACATAGATAAAAAAAAAACCGGCCAAGTGCGAGTCGGACTCGCGCACCGAGGGTTCCGTACAAACCTGCAAGGTTTACAAACTTCGTTCATTACGACAATCGAGTCATAACTATGGTATTTTTATTGCAAAATGAAATTCATAACATTACAATGGGGAAAGATGGAGGAGCATAAATTTAAGACAAAGATCTCTTTATCGTTTAAGTAATCCTTTATTTTATATTAACACATATCATTTATCTATAATATAACTGAAACACTTATACTAGCCTTGCAGCAGACTTGCGAAAGTTCTTTTATTAAAGTTATTTTTGCGTTTTGCGTTTTTGCGTTGACTTAGAATTTTTTTTTCACGGGTTAAAGACAATTAGATCTAAGCATTTGATATGAATTTCAACTTGATAGCTCTACGCGTTCATGAGGAAAAAAGTAATAAGTTTATATTTATTAAAAAATATATATTTTGTAATGTAACTAAAAATTTAAGGTTTTCGGAATTTTTCCTTTATGTGTGCTATAAAACGTTGCTTCATGCCAAATTTCAAGATTCTAGGTCGACTGGAAGTACCCTTTAGGTTTTGATTCCCTTGCGAGTACTTGCGAGTTTCAAAATATGCAGCTTAAATTGCTGTTTCTTTTGATTGCGTTGACATAGAAGTTTGATTTTGTTACAGCTTAAAGGTATTATAGACCTGAGTATTTGGTATGAATTTCAATTTAATACCTCTACGCGTTTATGAGGAAATGGGTAGTAAGGTTAAAATTATTAAAAAAAAATATATTATGTGATGTAACTAAAAATTTATGGTTTTCGTAATTTTTCCTTTATCTATGCTATAAGACGTTGCTTGGTACCAAATTTCAAGATTCTGAGTTCACGGAAAGCACCCTGTAGGTTTTGATTCCCTTGCAAGTGTCGAAAATTTGCGGCATAAACGGCTGTATCTTTTGATTGCGTTGGCTTAGAAGTTTGATTTTTTCACAGCTTCAAGGGACAGTAGACCTAAGTAATTGATATAAATTTCAGCTTCATACCTCCACGCGTTCCTGAGAAAAAGGGTCTTGACAGACGGACGGACGGACAGACGGACAACAAAGTGATCCTATAAGGGTTCCGTTTTTCCTTTTGAGGTACGGAACCCTAAAAAAAACGTTCGAACACAAAACCTCCTCCTTTTTTAAAGTCGGTTAATAACGAACCAGAATCATAGTAAAAAAAGTGCGAAGTTTCTATCGAAATTTTGCTTTTCGTTGAATTAGAGTAGACCTCCTGGTGTCGGACTGTAATAGGGTTCTTGACTCTTGGCCTACTGAAATTTGACCGAATGTAATTTTTTCTAGAAATATTTTCTTTAGATTTTAACATCTAGCAGTGAAATGCTTCAAATATATATATATATACTAGCTGACCCAGCGAACTTCGTACCGCCATAAAAAAATTTAATTAAAAAAACATTGTCCAGCGGACAAAATTGTGAATCTAAACCATTCTCAGATCCCCTTGAACACACACAAAAAATTTCATCAAAATCGGTCCAGTCGTTTAAGAGAAGTTCAGTGACATACACACTCACAGAAGAATTATATATATAAAGATAATAATTACCTCTTAAGTATTTAAAAATACATCTTTTGCTACAAGGTAGCTTGACAAAGTAAATAAAATCATAATTCAGACGACGCATACTGAAAAGGTGCCGTGCGCGTGCCGGCCTAGAATAGCACCACCCCTCTCGTCCCGTGGGTGTCGTAAAAGGCGACTAAGGGAACACAGCCAGCAGAAGACGGGCAGCAGCGTCTTGTTACAATATCTTGGCTGTACTGCGATCGCCAACCCGCCTGCCAAGCGTGGCGATTATGGCAAAACCCCCCCAAGAAATGAGTAGCACAATTAAAGATTGGCCCCCAGTCCCCGGCAGCCCTGCTATTCCTAGCCACGGTAGCAGCTATGGTAACGGCGGGGCAAGGGGTGCTAAGAATCCCCGGGTAAGATCCGGCTACCACCTACGACGACTCGACCTGGCAACCTACAACACGCGCACACTGAGGACCGACGCTAAGCTAATAGAGTTGGAAGAAGCTATTAGTAAGTTACGTTGGGATATTATTGGATTATCTGAAGTCCGAAGAGAGGGAGAGGACTCGATAATCCTCAATTCCGGTAACTTGCTATACTACCGGGAGGGCGATCAACAGTCCCTAGGCGGTGTCGGGTTTATCGTCCACAAGTCCCTTGTCCACAACGTCATCACCATCGGAAGTGTGTCGACCAGGGTAGCATACCTGATACTCAGAATATCAAAACGATATTCGTTGAATGTCATACAGGTTTATGCTCCGACCTCAACGCACCCAGATGATGAAGTGGAAGCTATGTATGAGGAGATCACTAAAGCCATGCATAGCTACAAAACACACTACACGGTTGTGATGGGGGACTTTAACGCAAGGTTGGGGAAGCGTTGCGGTGATGAGTTGAGAGTGGGGCAATTTGGAGTTGGACAACGGAACGCCAGAGGACAGATGTTAGTAGATTTTATGGAGAAGGAGAACCTCTATATGATGAACTCCTTCTTCAGGAAACCCCAAAATCGAAAATGGACCTGGATGAGTCCGGACGGTAAAGTCCGAAACGAGATCGACTTTATCATGTCGACGAAAAAGCTAATATTCAATGATGTCTCTGTGATTAACGCCGTTAAAACGGGAAGTGATCACCGGTTAGTACGAGGCACATTGAATATCAACATTAAGCTCGAAAGATCTCGAATGATGAAG